TAATTCAGTAGTTATCTCATTCTGTTAAAAATAAAAAGTCTTAAGTTCCAGTTATATGATATGCGGATGGAGTGAGATAAAGAATGAAAGATGATTGTCTCTTATTGTGTAATCAAGATAAAAAAATATATATGTAAATTAAAAATTAAATTTATATTTAAAAATATAAATAATTTTATTGTCAAATATATAATTGATGATGTTTACAACATATCTAATAGCTGTATTGCACGTGTCAAGTGATAAGAAGATTAAATACATATATACACGTATGAGTTAAAAAAAAAATATTTCAAATTGCAATAAATTGACGATGAGAGAAAGGTCGTAGGCATGTGATGACCTCATGCCAACACACATGACATGAGTGGTGAATGGTGCATGATATGAAGTTCGACAACACTTTGATATTTGATATCAAATTCATTAATCTTTTCACCCTTTTTTTTTTATTAAATATATTATTTTATAATAATTAGATCTGGTGATCTGATGATGATTATAAAGTATATCTTTTAATTTTTAAATTGGGTTAAAATTTTTTTTTGAAAAACTATAATTTGTTCAAAATATATATTATTTGATAATTTAAATTATTTTAAATTATATAATATAATTTAATTGGTGGATAAAAATCTCTAAAAATAAAAGATTTTTTTATTAAATAATTAATATTTTATGATCTGAAAATAGTTTAGACAATCAAATCTTTTTTTCGTTTTTTACTTTTTAAAAAAAGAATCTGTCTTAAATTCCCAAAAAAAAAAAGGTGGAATACATAAAGACAGAAATGCCCCGTGATTTGTGCTAAAACCTCCGTAGAGGCCAAAGCCATCGCTTTGACCAACAGCAGCCTGAAAGCCCGATACATTGGACGCTCCCACGTCAATTTCACTTTCTACATTGTGGAACCTTCATATACCCACGTGATGGCATCTCTTAGCCGTGGGACTTTCTAATCTTGGGCCCCATTGTGGTCCCCATGGGGCATCATAGGTTCCCATTTCAACCCGATATAAATACCATCGCCATCGCCATGCAGAAAAAATTGAGCTCAACTAGTTACACGGTTAGCACTAATTAAGCTGGCCAATGGATCAGGGGGGAAAGGAAGGAGGAGGGGGAGGAGAAAGCACCAGGTACCGTGGGGTTAGGAAGCGGCCGTGGGGGAAGTACGCGGCGGAGATACGCGATTCCAACAATCATGGGGCACGTGTCTGGTTGGGGACTTTTAACACGGCGGAGGAGGCTGCTAGGGCTTACGATAGGGCGGCGTATGCCATGAGAGGGCAATCGGCTATTCTTAACTTCCCGGAAGAGTATCCCATGGCTAGTGGAAGCAGAGGTGGTACTTCTGCTTCCCATTCGGAAGCCTCTTCTTCTTCATCGGCAATGCGAGGCGGCGACCGCGGTAGGCAGGTTATTGAGTTCGAGTATTTGGATGATCAGGTGTTAGAGGATCTCCTTGACGATACAGAGAAAAAGGGTAAGAAAAAATAAGAAGTGGCTTTAGAATTTTCCAGGTACTTTAGGTTGAAGTGATGACTATATATGTATACATCTCAAGCTCTGTTGATAAAGCACTCAGTTCAGAGTGCAGAGTGTGTTTTTTCACTTCTTCTTTCTAAAGAAAAAATTATTAGTAACTATATATTCTGGTTTTTTCCTTAAAAAGAAAAAATGAAAAGTTTTACTTGATATATATTAGACAACTTGAGGGTTCCTTTTTTTTTTTTTTTTCTTTTTATGCCTACCAGATGTTCGATGAAATGCCTGCGTGGGTTGTTTATATTGTCTTGGCAGTTGGATAGGAGTAGGATAGTTAGCCTCTAGGCTGTAAGTATCC